TGTGTGTGTGTGTGTGTGTGTGTGTGTGTGTGTGTGTGTGTGTGTGTGTGTGTGTGTGTGTGCAGACAATCCTCAGACTTGTCAGCGTGAGCGAGCGTCTCTGCTCTCTCAGACTCGTCAAGCCCGGGAGGATGAGCGTTTCATCCCAGAATGCACTGCAGATGGGCGTTACAGCCCCGTGCAGTGCCACACTGCTACAGGTTACTGCTGGTGTGTCAGAGTGGACACTGGGAGGCCACGACCAGGCACCTCAGCACGGTAAGAAATCTGTTTGTTCGTTATTTAGCTCATTTGTGTGTTGGAAACTTGACTGTTATTCCTTTTAAAAACTTTCTCTTTTACTGTCTTTTCTTTTTGTTCACTCCTCTTATCCCCTGTCCTCCCTTCCAGTCGTCAGATTTGACTGGTTTTGCAGTCACAGAAGCATTTCATGTTAATCATATAATTTTACACCAATTACTGTCACTGCTCCCTAGGTGGATTTGCCTTAAAGGAAAGACACAGAGCAAATCAGAATAAATTATGGTCGGACTTTCCTGTTCTCGAGGGGCTTTATCAGCGTTGTTGCTGCACAGCTGCTTTCAAACTCCTGGGAGCGAACTGTTGGATGTTTTCTTGTGATGGTTTTGGTTCACTGATGTGAGAATAAACTCCCTTAGGCCTAATGCGTTTTTTAAAATTCTTCTATCTAATGTTTAAGCACTTTATGTGGTTGGACTTGTAATTCTGTAAATAGAAATCACTGTCAGCCAATTAAATCAAACAGCTGTTTCCCCCTTTAGCACACAAAACAAATCAAAGCATCAGATTTGTGTACATGAAAAGAAGTGCCAGTCATATTTTGCATTTATTAATTCAAATTCTACTGCTCAGTCCCTCTGTGACCTCAGTAAACCAGGAGTTTACAGTCTCAGCTGCTGGTTTCTGTCTGGTTTCAAAGGGCCGAGATGACAGCGCTCACAATACTCAGCTGGGGCTTCGTCGCATTAATAAACAATAAAAAGCTAAAAATAAATCATGAAGTGAGATGAGCCATATAAAGTTTTTATTTTAATGTGTAGTTCCATGAAAATGTGATCAGTGATTCCACCCAAACCCTGTTTTTTACATTAAGTCCTTTTTGATGTTATTTTTTTTCACATTTTCCAATTTGGTTGATTTTATATGTGATGATCCTCCTGTGTGTGTGTGTGTGTGTGTGTGTGTGTGTGTGTGTGTGTGTGTGTGTGTG